TCTCATCTCTCTTCTTCCCCTCTTAATTTTTTTCCTGGCCAAGTAATCAAGTGAGGGAGTCGATGAAGTGAGATATATATATATATATATATATTATTATTATTATTGATGGCCTAGTGTCAAGTGCTCACCAGATCAATATGCCATAGTGCACTACTTCAGATTTTTTCTATTTTTTTAAATAAATTTATTTCACATTTTTTAGTTATTACAAATGGTGAATGGATAATTTCTTTACATAAAAATTTACAAAAATTTAATTTTTTTATGAATACTCAAGATTGATCAGCATCAAACCACCTAATCGCCATAATAAAATCTCTAGCGCATAAAAATTTACAAAAATTAAAATTTTTCATGATTACTCAAGATTGATCAACATCAAACCGCCTTATTGTCATCATAAAATATCTAGTGCATAAATAAAACATCAAACCACCTTTTAACAATGACCCAGTAACCATATTTTTAAAGATAATGTTAAAGCCCTAAGTGTATCACCTGCTAATTCTTATTATTTTTGGGTTTCTTGGATCATCTAATGATCTAAAACTAAATGACTAACAAATAGAGATGATGACCTTTAATCCTTGCATGGGAAGATAATGGAGAGAATGAACCACAATTACATTAAAGAAATCACTACACCTTTGGGTAAATTCAATGTTCTTGTCGATATTATTCATGTTATTGTTTCCTTTTTAAAAAATATATTTAACACCCTAAAGACCCCTTTGTTGACTACTCCTCCTATCTATTTATCTATGATTTATGTATCTAACTCTCACGTGAAAATATATCATCTTTAAAATATTATCAAAGAAATTGATGAAAATATTTCTCAACCTTCGGCTATTTTGGGTGAATTTAAATGTTTCATGCATCACTATGAAAATTCAAAGGGAAATCCTATACCTAAAAACAAATTATGAGACTTTGAAAAATATGATTTTTATACTAGCATTAAAGACCTAGCATCTCTGGGCATCTCTTACACTTGGTTCAATTATAGAGATGACAACTTTATTCATATCAAGCTTGATATAAATAAATCACTTGCTAGTTCTTATTCTTTTTGGGCTTCTAAGATCATATAATGATCTAAAATCAAATGGCTGACAAATAGAGAATATGAACTTTAATTCTTGCATGGGGAGATAAAGGGGAGAAAGAACCTCGACTACATTAAGGAATTCACTACACCTTCATGATCCATCACTATTGCAATACTTTCTAGAAAATCATTATGATAATCTTTGTATTTAAACTGAAACTGATTGTCTTACATTTTCCTTTCTAGTCAATAAGGCTTTCTATAGAAAAGTATTTCTACATATAATATTTTTCTTATAAATTAAACTTTGGGGCAGTTAAAAAAATAGAAAGGAATACATATTCTATGCTAACATTGACATTTAAAAAGCATTTGATACTATTTCAAGAGGCTTTCTAACTCAAGGATGAAAAAAAAAAGTTTTTAAAGAATCTTCATAGATTGGATTCATGTATGCGTTGAAAAAGTTTATTATTTATTATATATTAATGGGGAATTATATACGTTTTTCAAGTCTTACTCTTGTTTGAGACAGTTATGCCCTCTATCATCCTATTTGGGTTACAATATCATAGATTGCCTCTCCAATCTTATCATTCATACACTAGGATTGTGAAACCGCTTAAGAGAAAAGAAGGTGAACTCTTAAACATCAAGGTGTTATAATGGTTAAAATTTCATTAAGAATTTTTGTAGTTATACATGCTCACCCCAAAGAAATCCTGAGATTGGTGACCTCCTGGGAAGCTACACCAACATGACAGAACCATGAGGTTCTTAGACCAAAGCGGATAATATCTCAATAGTTAAGAGTTTTGGTTGTTAAAAAAGGTATCAAAGAAATACATCATTCGAAAGATGAAAATTAAGTGTCATACAAGATAAAGTGTGACGTCATAGGAGCAATCTCTTGAACCCTGTATGGGACAAATTAAGTGCTAAGTGACGAGAGTCATCACTTGAACTTGTAGGGGCCACCTCTAGAATTATATCTGTCTGGTGGATAATTCTGGGATAAGGATACTGACAAGAATGTTAGTTATTTAAATGAGGGAGATTGTAAAACCTCTTAAATAAAAACAAGCTAAAGTCTTGAATATTGAGGCGCCTTTTCATATAATGATTAAAATTTTATTAAAAAACTTCATAGTACTTAAGCGAGCTTTTCCGGGAGAAATTTTGAGATGGGTAACCTTTCGGGAAGTTACACTAACGGGACAAAATTGTGAGGCATTTAAGTTAAAGCGGACAATATGTCAATAGTTAAGAACTATTACTAGGATAACTATGAAAAGAAATCATTTCTCATACCTATTTTGTGTCAATTACTTTTTTATGTTTGACAACTATTGTAATAAAAATATCTAACTATCTTTAGAAAATTCCAGAATTATTTGGGAATCTATCAAGTTTCCATATTAATAACACCAAAAGCACTATTTTCTTCTCCTCTCATGTCCCTAATCCTGTAGTCTTTTCTAATATACTAAACCTGATATTTGCTAATGCCTCTAATATCACCTAGTTGGGCAGACGTATCTCTCCCAAAAAGCTTTACATGGATGACTTCCAACCTCATTTACATAATGACTCACTACTTCTTGCTGGGTGGAAAGCATTCTCTTTATTATTTATATATATATATAACATATAAGGGCTCAATGCGCTCTCTAAAAGGCCAAATTATTACGTCCGGTCACCGGATCTGGAAATAAGTCCGGATATCCACTAAAAATTTGACGCGTGGAATGTACAAGTGTCAGCGGAATTTTAAGTCAAGCACGCCAAAAGCGCAAGTAAAGCGCACCCAAAACGCACAGTCAAATCGCGGTTCACGTGGCAACTTTTTAGTGGATATCCGAAACTATTTTCTAGGTCCGGTGACCGGACGGAATAATTTGCCCTTCTAACAGACAGTCTTGATCCATCACTGTCAGATTTTTTTATTACACGGGAATCGCATACGGGCACAATAGGCCAAATAGAAACTTGTTTAACATATAGAAAATTCAGAAGAATCAAAGCTTCGGATCAAAGAAATTATGAAGCGAGCCAGTGGGATTGCTGCGTTCTTTTTAGTTTGGCTGACATCAAGTTGCGAACGAGTTTGTTTAAGCAGATTTACCCTTCAATTCGAGATCAATAATAATACTGCAAAACATATGGAATTTTGGAACTTAACTACGCCTTGCATGCCTGCCTGATATAACTGCATCTTCTATTAGAGTGTCAAAAAATCCAACGAGGGTGTAAAATAAAAAGGGATTTTTACATACATGCCACTTTATAACATGTATATTACATATTTAACACTCAAAACTTAAATATTACACTCCTACCACTCAAATGCAAACTTAACCTCAAAAATACCACTCCTTCTCACTCCGTCTCTTCTCCGCTTCATTTCACGCTACCCTGCCATAAAAAATCTGCTCCTTCGGCCTTTCCCACCGAACTAAATTGTGCCAAATTTGTAGAACAGAAAATAAATCCATGCATTAACACATTAAGCCATTAAGCCATAAGTTTTATGTTATTTTGTCAGCACACATTTGAGTTGTAAGAGCAGCTACCGTGAATAAAAAATGCAGAAAAATCATAGATGATGGACCACAGGGAATGCTTACAACTGTCCGCCTAATGACATGTAAATCGAGCCATAAAAACAGTGCTACCATGGTTTCCCTGCCGTGAATAAAGCCATAAAACCGGTGCTTTGTGCGGAAGTGAATAAAAATGCAGAAAAATCCAAATATCTCACCAGTTCTCCGTGAATCAAGCAAGTGCTTGTGCGGAGTGAAGGCCACAGGCGGAAGAGCAGCTCAGGTTTCTGTTTCGCTGAAACTTGTTCTCCCGCGAACGGGATAGCGTAAATGAAGCGGAGAAGAGACGGAGTGAGAGGGAGTGGTATTTTTGAGGTTAAGTTTACATTTGAGTGGTAGGAGTGTAATATTTAAGTTTTGAGTGTTAAATATGTAATATACATGTTATAAAGTGGCATGTATGTAAAAATCCCAAATAAAAATTAAGAAAAAATTCCAATCAATATGAATATATAATTTCAATAACCCTTATCCACTCACTAAGATTATTGAAACATCTAAAGATTTGTTTGGAATAATTTTCTCACTATTTTTTCAAATTATAATCTAAGTTTCAGTTGGCTTCTACTTTCTTTAAGTATATAAATATATACTTCTATGGATATGCCCCTCATAAGAAAGAATACATCTATCCCTTACCCAATAAAAACTCACCCTTGGTCAACTGCATGGTACTCTACAAAGCTTAGATTTAAAAAATATAAATTAATCATGCATTCAATATTACACGTCAGAAATTTGTATAACATTCAACCAATTAAAAAATATATACATGTAATCAATTCAAAAAAAAAAAATCCTCTAAATCATCTTACAAAATTAACCCAAAATATTCAATATGTTTTGTATAGTATATATCTTTCACCATATATTCTTCAAATCTGCAGCAGCCCCTAACGGCTCAATTTCATAGATTTGTTAATTTTGAATTGTTAGAAACTAGAAAAAATTTTTGAATGATAAATAATAATTCATAAAGTCTCTGCCTTAAATCCGTGACTTAAGATTTCATTCAGAACAATTTTTTTATTACTTTCTAAAATAAATTTATGTAGTAGAAAACTGCTTTTAAAAGTAATAAGAAAATTGTCCTAAACAAAATCTTAGAAAATGCAATCATCTCGTAATGAGTCAAAGATTCTTTTAGAGATCACAATATTTTGAAAATAATTTATAAAAATTTATCAACAAAATAAAATGACACCTTGATGAAAAAAAAAAAAACTTTCTTTCTTGATTAAAAAAATAAACAATAATAACACCATGTAAATAAGGTGGAAAGAAAATAAGACAGGCATCCAACGATTCCAAGCACTCTGCTTGCCATTTGAAAAAGAAAATAATTGAAAAAAAAAAACTTCAATATTTTTTTATTCTTTATCAGAACCTTTACTCAGACTATACAAAGTATCAATTTTTCTTCCATCAACAGAAATATTAAGAGAAAAAACAAGTGAGCACTCAAAACATCTACCAAACTACCCAAGTTAATATCAAAATCAAGCACAAATTATTTCATACACAATAAGATCATGAGATTATCAACTTACAACACGCAGCTTTCCAAATCTGCTTCAGCATTCTCTCATTCTGTGATGGCTAATGCACAAGTGAAGCCAAGTTATCTGGCAAACGAACCATGTCAGATCTCATTCATTCTTGGATGCTAATGCAACTACAGTGTGGAATTGTTTCCATTTGCCACCCAATAAGATTTAACAGCAATCAAAATCTTCTCAGGCACAAGAGGGCCATCTTCATCGTCAAGCATCCTCGTCTTCCACCGCATTGCAGTGGCCAATACTCGCACTCTGTTCACAGCATCGACGCCATCGCGGAAAATAATCGTGCCTTCAGGCCTTAGGATTCTGTCCATTTCTAGAAGTATGTCTTCCATCCCACAGCTGGCATTCAGCAAATGCAACATGAAACCAAGTAGATCAAGTTTTTCAAATAAAGTTTTAGACTTTGTTTGAGGCGGTTTTCTTGTTGCTTCTTAAAACAGCTTTAAATTTTTGTACTAAAAAACTGTTTTAAGAAGCAGTAAGAAAGCCGTCCCAAACGAGACTTTAGTATCTTTGCAGCAGATTTTGGTAGTGAGAAAGTTTCTTCCAGCTTACTTATTCTGATACAAGCTGAAGACTCCATTTGCATGAATCAAATCATATGATCTAGGGTATGTGGAGAAGGCTTCACACCTGGAGAAATATTAGAAAAAGGTTGTATTCTCAGTTTCATGAGAGAAAGCAACATACACAAAAAATGTCTTATTGAGTAGAAAATCTAGTACTTAAACCATATAACAAAACCATGTAATATATGAAAACAAAATTTAAATATCTCAGGAGGTCATGTTCATAATTGTAAAATCATAAAGATGGGAAGATGCACCAAGCCAGATGCACAAAAAATGAAGCTAAACTAGAAAACAAGAAGGCAAGAATCTACAGGCAGATAGGGAAAGAAATTTGAAATTTCGATTGAAGTAAATGATAGAGCATACCAGTCATGGTATATCCCAATGAGGCCTCGCTCATAAATTATGCCCAACGTATCTTTCTTAGAAATTGTTGGGACAACATTCATCACCCATGAATTGGAAGACTCGAGTGCAGCTGCAAAGCCTCCAAAACCTGCATTCATATCCATTATATTCCGATATCTCCCTGAGCCTATTAGTTTATTCATCTTCTTGTAAGCCTTCACATGTTTGATCCAAATTCTATTATCTTCTTCATAAGTCTCTTTGGAAACACCCACAGATCCACTAGCTACTCTGGGAGGAACAGCAAAGAGTCGACCAGGGAACTTTTTCAACTTCCCGCCAGCGACTTCATTTGAACTTTTGACAGCAGGGAATGGAGTAATACAAACTTGCATCTTTTGGTACCTATGAATTTTCAGTTTTCGAAAAAAAAAGATTTTTCGTGTGTCAGATCAGAAGCCAACTAAAATTTTTTACAAACCGAAATTATTTGAAAAGAAAAAAAAGGACAATCCATACACAAAAAGAATGATGAAGCAAACACATCTTTGTTAATCATAATTGGCAATATTAATTAGTGAAGTCCATGAGAGAAAATGGAAGGCATCTTTGAACTAACTGAGACGATGTAAGCACGAGAGGGAAGCTAGCAAAGAATAATCATAGCATGCCAAGGATGATTTAGAAGCACACTCCCTAACAACTAGTATCAAACCCTAAAAAGCCTAAAGAGGAACACTGTAAAAGTCTGATATTTTGAAAATAAATTAAAAAAAAAAAGTTAACAAAAAAACTGATTTTTTTTTTTGAACTAGAGCATTGCGGCACTGAGCTTGTTAACGTTGTGGTGCTAGGTCTGTGAGTATAGCGGCGCTAGAAATCACAGCCGCGACATTGAAGGCTCAATTTTATAGTAATTTTGAATTTTGCATGAAGCGTTGTGGTGCTAGGTTGGAGCACTGCGGTGTTAGCATACACTAACCTAAACGACCTCACGCCGAAGCACATGGCCACTACCTGACGTTGTCAGACGCTGCGCCTCCAACGGCCAGAGAAAGCTACGGTTAACAAACCACGTGACACTACCTTTCTCCTCTCTCTATATATGTAAACAGTAACAAGGGAAATAGTGAAATGAAAGGATCCGAAATTCATCTTCTTCCTTCAACTAACTTTTCTATTTCTTCTAGTTTTGATACAGAGTTTCTCATGCGGTGCTAGGCTACTAAAAGTATATATATATATCAAGGTTTTGAAAACCGGACCGGACAACGAACCGGAACAAGGAGAGGTTCACGGTTCGACCGGTTCAACCGGTCTAACCGGGGTCGAACCGGATGACGTAATAAATAATAAGTATTATTTAAATTTATTTTTAAAGCACTGATATATAAGTCATTTCTCTCCACTGGCCTCCCTAACCCTCCACCAGCATTGGCTTGTCGTGGAAGGAAGAAGAAAAAAGGGAAAGGTAAAAAGAGGAGAGAGAGAGAAATTCTGGATTTTTTGTAGTTGGTTCACTTTGCCATTTTTAAAAAAAATGCTCAGATTGTGGCAGGTTACTTTTATTCTATTCTTATTTACAAATATTTTAATTTCGACTGTTCAATTTCTTCCCAATTGATTTTATTCTATTTTCTCCGAATTTAGTGAATTTTCACAACATAACTTTTTATATGTTATAATACTGATTATTCTGAACATTTTGGCCGGTTGATTGTGTAACTTCACCAAGTAAAATGAAAGTTATTGTATTTTATAAGATTTACAAAGAATGAAAATTTTGGTATTTTAATATAAACATAGTGTTAATACAAGCATTGCGAATGAATATGAATATGTGATTGGGTAATATCTGGTCGTTATTACTTTTGCAATATAATAATAATAATAATATATGAAAACAATATAAGATTGGTGATTTGATGACGTCGACTGGAGACTGATTGAGTTGTACATGATGGTGGGTGGATGGGCTTTCCTTTAAATACTATAGTTTGCGTATTGGAAGTTATAAGGAGTTATTACTGTGCAGATGGGCAAATAGTGACAACTTTATTTATTGAGCCAACAATTATTGGTTATTGTCTTACTAACTAGTTGAAAAACAACAAGCAAGCTAGAACTCTTTATTTTGTGAGATTACTGGAATGCATGTTACTACGTTGACTTATTGTTACTGCATTGTTGCCACTGTACTCTTTTATTATTCTACTAATTATTGTTAATGTATTGTTTTGCTATTACTACCACTGGTTTTACGGATATTAATAATGTTATTAATACTACCATTGATTCATTGTTACTATTACTGTTATTGATACATATTACTGAGCGTGTGATATAAGATACTAATTTAATACTGATATAGAATAGTTAAATATCATATTTATACTTTTATACGATTTTATTGCATTGATATAATTCCAATAGTCTTTATAAATATTTTAGTTTTACTGATTTATATGATTTTCTTGTTAATTTGATAGTACTACGATGATTGTTTTATCGATTCAACATTCATATTGGTTTATTGGTACACTAGTTTACATATTTCATTGTTTTCATAATGTAATGTTTTATTGGCCTCGGTATTGTACTGCTCCATTGCTTTATAGATTTTACTGGTACTGCATATGATTTATTATTTATGTATAGATTCGTGATCATATTACTTTGTTACCGTGTTTTGAATTCAATTGTAGGATTTTGTGACTTACAAGATTTTTTAGTTCATTATGTGTGATTTAAATGAATTCGGATCAAGGGGAAGGATCAGGAGTGTGAGACTGATCAATTACAAGATGTCCCAAGTTTTGATGTTGTTTGTTTCTTTTTACTTGTAGATATTCTTTTGTACTCATGAGTGAAAAGAGGGATTTTGTATTTGTATGACTCTTAGGTATTGTATATAATTTTTGAAGCATGAATATAAATGTACATTGATATTTTGATCAATAGATTCATTTTCACTGATATTTATATAGTGGATAAAAGAAATTAGATGGCTTTAGTTATTGTTATTATTAAAAAATAAAAGAAATAAATTTTCCTCCAATCACTCACCCCACTTAAAGCAACCATTAAATTTGAATCAATCCCAATTGATTCTTGTCTTCAATTGCATGCCACCTAGACAAGAAATTAATTCCAAAATTTTATTAATTGCTGGAATTAAATTCAGAATTCCCTAATTGTTGTGAATGCCTTATTCTGCCCTCCAAATCCCAAATTAAATCTCACCTTCCTCTTACCCTTGATGGCCGATCACACCTCCACCCCCTCCCCCTCCCTTGACCATTATTCTTCCTAACTTGTTCTTCCCTCAAGACGGAGAACAAAAATCCCCTCCCAGGGCTGGCTACACCTCCACCCGCCCCTCCCCTCTACACCAAGTCCTCCACTTAATGATCCCACTAGGCAAGGAATATCAAGCCCGTATTTTTCCCTCCTACCCTTACATCCTTTCCAAATCCATAATCCATTGTTGACTATAAGGCTTGAATGATACAAGAGGCAACACCAAACAATCAATGGTCGGGTTCTAGCAAATGTTAGAACAAGAACAAGAAATATGAGGATGATAAACCTTACTTCTTACTTTATATCTTTGATTCCTCCTCAATCATGGCATCGCATGATCATGAAGGCTTATCTGCATAGCCCATATTAGGAGTGTGAGTGAGTGGATCTTTATAGTGACTATTCTAATTGTTAAATTATGGATTCTCTTTGAAAGCCTCACATTAACATTGTATGATTTAATTTGATTATTTTGTGATCCTAATGTTATCATGTGATTGATTGCCTAAGCTTAATCACTATCTTGTTGGCCTTAATCTTCAGTTTCAACACGTGGGAAGTTAATGAATTTGTAAAGTTCTATTCATAAGTGTGTAATTTCAAATTCACCAACATCACATATGTACGTCATCCTACATCAATCCACCTGAACTTTGCCGAACCCAACAACAACAGGTTCACCAATCGTCGCATTCCCTGCTGAGCAAACAGTGGTCATAGATGCCACCCCAAGTATCTAAGGATGAAAATCCTATGACACGCTGCTTTAGATTTTGTCATTTAAATATCATATAGATTGTTAAATTATTTTTGAAAAAATAAAATTTGATTTGTATAAAAAAGCATATGCTAGATTTTTAAATTCTACAAGCCCCAAATTACGGCAAAAAATTACTGCTTGCTTATGTAAATGGCATTTTCATTGAAAATTCATTGATTCTTGTACTAGCGATGATATTGAGTTGAAATCAATTGAATGCTAAGTCCTTATATAATCTGTATTGTGCTCTTTACCAAAAGATCAATCACTTGATCTTAGTTTTGAAACCGAAAAGGAAATGTTGAATATTCTAACCTCTTTAAATGGAATTGTAGGAAAACCAAATGAAGTTATAAGGAAGAGTGTCAACAAGTAATAAATCACAAAGACATCTCATTAATTTCAAAACCAGTAAGGAAATTTTAGATGCTCGCATCTCTTTATATAGAGTTTGTAGGTAAAGCAAGAAGGCTAAATTATGGAGTTATAAGGAAGAATGTCAACAGGTAAAATAATGAATCATACAGATATATCTGATATCTCTAATAAAATTGAGAACAATATAAGGAAAAAAAAAAAAGATTACAATGGGTATCGAAGCAACTATAGCCCCTGAAGCCAAAGTTAAGGACTAAGAACAATAAGCACTCTCCTCCACTTCTATACACTCTGACTCCAACGACAACAATGAGGCAATTGACATATCTTCCAACAAGTTGCCTAGCACTTTTGACTAAATTACTATAATTTTTGAAATGTTGAAAAAAATATATGAGAAAGGACTCAAAAGTTTTGAAGAAAAAATGAATCACTCGAACACGACCTTAACTTGAATAATAAACTAGATTCATGTTCATTGCTTGCATTGCCAGAGTCAAAATGTTAGGAATGAACTTAATGATTTATCTTCTCATAATTTATCCTTGCATGATAAAATTAATTGTTTAGGTACTTTGTGTGCTTATTGTGAGGGTTTTAATTGGGAATAATTTAACAAGAAAATCTAAAATATAATCGCACACCCAATTCATCCCTCTGTGTGCATATTTAAGCTCATGATTCTTTACAATGATGTTATTTAATACCGAATTTGGGTATTGTACCTCATAATAAATTTAACTTCTAGGAGCTTATCAACTTCCTCAATAAATTTGACGATCTTTCCAACCACACTTTGCCCATTTGACTTCAGGGCTTACACCTGAGTTTAACATTTAAAAAATAACATGATATTCTAGGGACTATCATAGGCATCTCGGATGGACTCCATGCAAAAACATCAATATTACTTTGCAACAAACTGACTAGTTTGGTTAAGTAATGCCTTATTAGAAATGAACAGTTCTTAAAGGTATGTGACGGACCTTCCTCATGCATCAGTAACTCTCTTATTCCTTAGATAGGTTACAAGCCCTTGCAATCATCAATTGTTTGCAACAAATTAAGCGTTTACGACCAAATAGCATTAAGGCAGCAAGCTAGACCAAGTTTCCATTAGGTTGTAACAATCCCGAGAGAAGAGAACTTCATGGCCAAATTGTCAACTGAGACTGCTCAAAAAGAGTAAAGTACGAGCCTACCAAAAATAGTTTTATATGAAAATGGTTCCTAAAGGATTATATAGTCAATTTGCCTAGTCATGTGGCGTTTGTTGTACCCTCAAAAGATCACAAGGGTGATGAGCCCATCTAGATTTCTCATCTCTCCTTAAAAAAGCCAAGGAGCAAACAACTATATGGGCTTGAGGTTCTTCGTGCTGATGTCAAACCACCCGATTGCATTGAGGAAAAGAATTCAGCCAGTAGACCTTGAACTAGTTTAAAAGGCCCTAACCAGCATCATACCAACATTATTGTTGTTGGTAGGGAGATCTTTTACAAAGACAATCAAGGGTGAGTGAGAGCATATCAGGTTTATCTCATTTATTAGAATCCTTAGCATGTTTTGACCATTGAGATGCCTCGACTCTTGCTCCAATGAGAAAAGGCATCAATGATTTTGACCTGTTAAATAGCTATTGATAAATGGTTGGTCAATTGCAGGACCCCTTAGACACTTTTGATGTGCGTGCACTAAGAACTCCTTCAAGTGTCATTCTTCTAAAAGACGCTCCAATAGTGACTTGAGGTGAGGCCAGCCCTCTATATTATGCATGTAGTTTAATGATAATGAGAAAACTTGCTTAGGATCCACTTATTCGAGGGGCCGTGAGACTTAATCAAATGCATGAATGGTCTACACGACAACTGAGAAGATCAACAATATGGGAAGTGACTCAATTAAGCTGGTTTGATTGAAGTGAATAAATAGATGTGAAGGTTGTCAAGGAAGGCATACCTCCTCAAGAATCGATCAACAGGTGTCGATGGAGGTCATCAAAATGTTCATTAAGGCACTCCTACTGTTATTCTACTTTGAAGTCAAGCCTTGGCTGAAGAGGAGGATTAGAGCACCTAGTGAACTAATCGGCGTTGATATATTTATTTGTCTTTTCTAGAAGCTCAAGCATTATCTTTGGGACTACAAACTTGAACAACACATCCATAAGTCCTTGAATCAACAAGGTAGACTTCATTTATATGGCCGAGCAAGCTGATTGAAAGAATCAAGAATACTAGCTGAGAGAGCTGATTGATATGATTGAGTATATTTGTCAAGCTTTTAGATACAAATCGAAAATTAAGTATATTCATGAACCAAATACATGTATTCATGAGATGAATGTGTGAGTAAGACAGGTGGAATAAGATTATTCTTTGTTGAGTAGTTGCATAATTAATAGCCTTGATGTGTATATCCATGCCTACCCTAAAAAATTTTCTTATGCTGCTGAGTATAAAATAGAATATGCAAAAAGGGTTCAAGAAGCAAAAGTCTGAGCTCTGTTGTGACAAGAAATCTAGATGTAACGCATTTGCCAAACTATAAAAGAGAGTTATATAAAACTTTTGACTGAACTTAACCTCGAAGGTAAAAGCTAGCATGATTGAATTTCTTAAGTCATGCATGGGAGGAATGGTAGGAGGCAATGTAAACCTCTTAAAAGCCTTATTATGGCTTTCCTAATAGAGCTTCTCCCTATTTCCCTTCAAACCTCCCAATTGGATCTTTCTTTTCACTACCATTGATCCTTCTCTTTCCCACTATATATAGAGATCATGTTAACCATCTCTTAAAGAGAGAGATTGCTACAGTATGAAATGATTGTGTTGTTCGTATAACCTATTGAGTGGTAAGGTAAAGGACAAAGCACGGTTTCAAGACTTTTACACAAAATTTTGAGTGCAACAATCGATGCGATAAATTTAGGGAAGAGACTGACAAATTCAACCACTTTGAGAAGAGATGAATCATAACAGAGAAAGAGGAAACAAGGGAATAGTTTTGAGGTCCCCCAAAAGAAATTTCCTTCGTGTGTGGGAGGTGGGGGAGATTATTTTAGTTTCCTCACAAAGATATAACAATATCATTCATGAAGAGGAGAATCTGAGTAAAAATACATGGTCCGAGTAGGAATCGGGTTAAGATCCTCCTTTGTGATTCATTCCATGGCATTTAATATTTATAAGCTCCTTCCTTGAAGAACCCTCTACATGGACCTTTATTTAGCTTGTGTAGTATATAATAATCTCTTATATAATCTCTCTTTTCAGCACAAATATGAGTTGACAGATCTTCTGGATGCACCATCACCTCAGAGATCATCTCCAAAACATATCCACTTAAGCATCTATGGTGTCTTGTCTTCTTCCACACGTCAGAAGAAGCTAGGGATCATCTTAAGGGAGAGCCATGCATCTACCAACACCTATTTTGTATAGCTTTTGGTACTCTAGTTTTCAATCTTCATTTGAGTCGGATCAAGCATTTTGAGATGCATGAGGTGGTTAGTAGGGCTTAGAGGATGATCGATCGCTACTACAGGCCGTTTGTGTGGATATCTATTCGAGAGCATTTTTTTTAGGGAACCTAATGAGATTTGCTCAAAAGCAACATCGAGAGTTCCCTCGATGGTATTCCTTAGGTATCCACTCAGTCCTCAGGCATACATTTGAATTACTTCCTATTAAGCAATAGAGTGGTCAAGCTTCCCAAGTACACCAAACTGAGCGGATTCTTTTCACCCGTTATATCTAACTATGCCTCATTCTGCTCCATTCTTACCTCTCATACTTAACCAAATTTGATTTCTTTGACCACAAGGAGTCTCCCAAGATACTCGCTCTATCGCGTGTGTGACATTGCTATAAGGATGAGGCAAATTGTTATTCTCGAAGAGAAAAAGTAGAGTAAAACATTTTGGAACAATGAAGTATCATCTCAATAAACTGAAAGTAAATTAATACTAAAAATTTTGTATCAATTCCATGAACGTTAAGGGAATGGAATCAAATCTTGTTTCCTCTTTTGCGGACACACTCTTATTTTAGTTAAATCGCATAAATCTTGAAATTACTTCTACAAGGTGTATCCACATAAAAAATAATCGTTTGTCGTCACACCTTATATTTAGTGAAAGTATGTGTATGAGCTCGAAGCTGGGTACAAAATTGAAGGTAAAAAGTAACAAAAACCACATCCTAAGCTAAACTATAAAAGCATAGTTGAGCATCAGCGTGAAAACCCAAATCTCCTGCACGTTGAGGCTTATTAAATACTTGCAACTACCAACTAGTTATGAAATGAAACATAGAGATTAAAAACTGAACAATGAGAAAAATAATGAAAAATAAATAAATAAAACAGCAGAACCTAACATTCAGTTCTATTTTCTTAATTGGGGTAGTGAAAACCTTAGCTGCAAGTGGCTATAAGTTACCAAGGTTGGCAGACTGGATTAATGGCCTATGCTTAGGAAAAAACTCTAAACATAATATTTGCTATTTTTTATTAGTTAAGTAGCACATATCAATCCACACATCCAATCCAAATGATCAGGGTGTCAATACGTTGCTGGTAAAATTAAATTTATCTTTGACAGTTGATATCCAAACTCCAACAGCCTCGCTGCAATACCTTGACTATTGAAAATAATAACAAAAGTTTGGAGAATATAGAATTATACCACAAGCCATCAACACCTTCATCTTTGCACATCCCAACAGAAGAGTCATTTTTCCTTTTACATGAGTAGTCATTTATACTCTTCTTCCAGATGGCAACATCTCCTTTCTCGTACTGTTTCTCCCAGCAAAGCAGGTCAGCAAGTTCCTCTATTCGTCTTTGTTCCTTTTGCAGCTCATCCTCTGAACGCTTCCATGTCTTATTGTATGTCTTCCAATTAATTGGAGGCCCAGACAATATCCAGTACCCGCCAGGCCTGAGAACTCGATCTACTTCCATCATGTACATGCCATCTGCATTAAGAAGTAAAGATCAGGAATGAAAACAACAAAAATCTACAAATGAAGAAGAAAGAATCGGAAAAAAAAAAGAAAGTTAAAAACGCCAAATGAATTAGCAGATTTCATAACCACTGCAGTAACTTGCTATGCAGTTGATGATCTATTTCAATATAGGGTTTTGTTTTTCTCTTGTTGATGTCACTTTTCACTCACCGTTAGAAGTCCATTGTATTAAACACCGAGCAGAATGAACCATATCAAAGGCTCTGGACGGATATGGAAGTTTGATGGTTCCAAGTACTCCTATAACAGCAGGAACACCTCGTTCTAAGGCAAACTGTACTTGAGCTTCATGTGAGTCCCTTGGTGCAAAGGACATCGTTAGTACATTCTGTTTAAACAGATAGGCTCCCCAGCTGGCGACCTACAGAAACGAAGAGAAAATGAACCATTGCACTATTCAGTTCTTGGCAGAAGCATCATATTTTCATTGATATTTTCCGGATTCTTGAGAAAAGTAACATGTGAGCAAACAAGAAATATGAATATATCCTATTGCTGACATGATAGCCCTAAATTACATATACCTCTCAAATTTTTCCATTATAATAACATTATTCTTTCTACCTGTCATCCTATTTTAAAAACCAGATGATGCAAAGCGCACAAACCCTACCCATCAGCATCATCATTGTCATGCAAACACCTCTAAAGTGGGTTGACTGCATCTCAATTCTTACTTGTTTACTTTATTGTTGCATGTTTGCCTCTTCTTTCCCATTTCCTATACTTTTTACTTTATGCTTGCGGACTTCCTGCACTTGTTTATTTCTCTAGGCATTGTTCAGTTGATATGTATGCAACCCCACTCCCTAGCACTTCTTTCCCTCTCTTGAGTTTCCTCCTCTTTCCCAATACCTATGAACACCTCCCTCTCTACCCCCTCTCATTATAGTCCTCCTCTTTCCTGTACTTTTTACTTTATGCTTGCGGACTTCCTGCACTTGTTTATTTCTCTAGACATTGTTCAGTTGATATGTATGCAACCCCACTCCCTAGCACTTCTTTCCCTCTCTTGAGTTTCCTCCTCTTTCCCAATACCTATGAACACCTCCCTCTCTACCCCCTCTCATTATAGTCCTCCTCTTTCCTGTACTTTTTACTTTATGCTTGCGGACTTCCTGCACTTGTTTATTTCTCTAGGCATTGTTCAGTTGATATGTATGCAACCCCACTCCCTAGCACTTCTTTCCCTCTCTTGAGTTTCCTCCTCTTTCCCAATACCTATGAACACCTCCCTCTCTACCCCCTCTCATTATAGTCATAATCCCCCCCCCCCCAAACTTCCACTCAACCCTAACTTTCACAGGACATGAGCTTCCCTTATTCCCTTTCTTAGAGTAGCATAAGCCTTTACACCTCTTCAAAACCTCACTCAACCAGTCGTTCCCCTTCATCCCCATTGACAAGAAGTTTTCAACATTTTTCCACTGCAAGTCCACTTAGAGTCTTAGATATAGCCAAGCCTGAACATCTTCGCCTTCCATTATTAGTTTCTTTTACATTATGCATACCAAAACTTACCCCCAATATCCTCATCATCATCATTAGCACCATATCGACTATTGTGAACCATCATTTTTATTTGTTCCTTCCTAGAGTTATCAGAGGTGTTAAATGCATTACTTACAAAGCATTTTAAAACAACTTCTATCAATGTTACATGAGATCAGCCCCATTAATTTCACAATTAGTTGACACTAGCAAATCTAATCGTAGTTTTAATCATGCTCAACCCTTAAGCTTTACAATAAGTTGTGCCCAATCACCTATGGCTGACATCATAGCTAAATCTTGCATACTTTTTAATTTTTATCACAATCAAATTAAGCAATGGCACATCACTTACAAGAAAAATCTAATCTTAATAAGTCCTCTTAGGACAAAAATGCTACCACTTATCCTAAGCAAAATCTTAATCTTAGCCATAATCAATTAAGCAGTGTAGCACGCACCTACATTTCAAATGAGACTTGACCCCATTATTGAGCCTCATATATGACAGGGATGCTGGCTTATGTGAGCTAGTTCAAGGTCAAAATTTTACCCATATAATTGAATGACTCATGTCCACCATCTTTATCCAACACATGTGACACAATCCCACTAGGCCCACCTTCCATCAATTCAAAGATATAATTTACCTGTGTAAATACTCACATAACAGGCAGAACCAACAAATCTTTGCCTACTTATAACAAAAGGATTACTTAATGGCTCGTCGCTTATGCGGAATGCCTGAGCTATAGCCAAGTACAAAAAAGTACTCCAAATAAAATGTCATAATTTGCATAACATGGAAGCAAATTCAATTTATAGTAGAATAAAATTAACAAATAAAACTCAACATACAAAATCAAAATTAACAGATAACCAAGTTTCAGCATTCAAACATACCCCACAGCCAGTATCGAGTGCAGTTCTAATCGTGCCATCTGCAATCGGGATGACAGATGCAAGTTCATCAATATATGCATCAGCTCCTTGAGGAAACATCGCTCCTACTCCTGGAAATTTTAACAAATTTCCCTCAAGCTGAACCCAGTTCTGAACAGCCTTCTCAACAATTAGACTCTTATATGGAACATTTACATAAGGCACATAGTCGCGACTCTTTGGCCATGGGAATGGTGTCATATAACCTTTTGGGGCTGGAATAAGGCATCGTAATTTCTCTTTATTGGGAGGGCAATGTCTTTCTCTATAAGCCATATTCTCCCTAGGAAAAGTCATTGCTCGATTTTGATCCTGACATGGTGTGTAATCTGTTAGTGTAGCATCGCATGGCTCAAAGTTCTTAGCTTTATAGGTGTAGATGTTGACATCATTGCTATGATGAGTTTCAAAAATCAAGTTTGGCATGACACCGCACTCTGTTTCTCGGGTAATCTGCAGTGCAATGCTATCTCCCCTCCCAACGCCACTTTTTTGCCATGCACCTAAAACATAGAAGAAACAGCAGAGACCAACTACTATAATTGTCATCATGACCCTCCTGGTCCTAACATCATATGAATTCATTTTTGATCCCATAATACACCTGTAAAAATCACAATCATGTTTTAGGTTCTAAGAATAATAGCACTGATGTGATGATGCTTGAATATCATTATAGATTCTAATTTCAACCAAATATGACCGTGACCCCCACTGTTTCTCAGAAAAGCAGTACAACTGTGTGACAAACACTAAAGAATTCTAAAAGCAAGAACTGAAAAAAAAATTAACTTTTATATGAAGCAAAAGGATAATGCGAATACTTAAATAAAAAAGGCCAGTCCAGATGCTATGGACAACTTCAAACCATCTAGAGATTAGAAAATATCCATACATTGAGATTCACTCTAGCAAGGCTAACCAGACCATGGCGGCCATATAACCATCAAGTAAACCTCTTGAAAAAGATAGATTTCAAGATAGAGCATATTGTCAGCTCCATGTCAAAGTAATCCAATTTCAGAAACTCCTGGAGGTGCGTTTGGTTTCTTCGTTTAGGGATATTTAAGCAAGAATTTGCTTAAATATTGCCAAATAGATTTTTGTGACTTTAAATTCTATTGTTTGGATAAATTCAGTTTCAGCCCGTTAAAGATTAAATCTAGAATATGTTAAATTCCACTATTAACATTTAAAATATTTAAGAACTCCTCGCCCTCATAAATCTTAAATCTCAAAACAAGTAGTTAAATAATTCATCAAAATGTAACAAGATTCAACAGTTTTTAGTTTTTAATCCCCTCACGATTTACTAACCGGCACAAACCTCAACGATCTTAAAATCGTGAGTTCAACTCTCAAAACACAAAAAAAGAACTCCAGACAAATCAAATCCTGTCCAAATCCAAATAAAAGAGAAACGACGCCAGCAACTCCAAACAGTATGCACGGAGACCCTACCTACAAACCCTAAACCATAGCAACATTAAAAACCCAACATTCCAAGACACTAACAGCAAAAAGGGCAACCAAAACACGACCTTCAGCGCGCAATGGAAAGTAATCCAACATCTTTACGTTAGACAGAACACCAAAACTAGCAGATGCATAGCAAGTTTAGAAAAAAGAAGGGAGAAGCGTACCAAAGGAAATCTTCTAGGGTTTCGAGGTCCTGAGCGTCAGCGTGGAGTTGAACCCGGCATGCTTTCCAGCAGTGGACTTCCTTATTTAAATTTAAGAAAATTTACACACGAAATTTAAAACTAGAGCAAGAAAACTTCAAGAGAAGAGTGGAATGGGCAAAGAGTAAAGACCAGGTCAGAAGTGACGCGGGAAGAAGGTGAAAGCGCGAGGGAACCGCGCGGATTTGTTCAAGTGGCACTCCGCCAAATGACAGAAATACCCTCACTATTAGTGAGATTGGCTTTATTTGACGGTTCAAAATTTCAAATGGTGTGATCCGTTGATTAAACATTAAAGAATGGCGAGTGCCGTTAAAATAGCGGCTGACGCACCCACCTTACGCAGCCGGCCATTAATTTATGATTAAGAAATATTAAATTTTATTATTTTTTATAATATATATGTAATAAAATAAATTTTATATAGTATTTAATATGCATGTATTTATATATCTACATCCTACAATTTTTATTCATTTATCTAATATTTAAAACTTCTCAATACAATAAAATACTACCCTATTAACTTCATATTTACTTTTTTCACCCCACAATAGCTTATCACGATTTTTTCTTCTCTTAATCTTAGTTGAATCATATATATATTCTCATATTCTCTCGACGCTTTCCTTTGCAATCTTCACTGAACCCTACATGTAATCAAGCACAACAACCTCTCTAATCTTTTCCTATTGTGCAATTTTCACCAAACCCTACATATAATTGAGGATAGTAGCTTCCTCCATCCCTCCTCTACACTCTCTTCGTTGATGACCTATTTTCAAGCATTGTGAAGGCTTTCTCTTGACAACCCTAGCTCTTGGTCGGCACCCATTTATCTCCAACTACCCTCACTCAAATTTCTCCTTTTTTCCTAGATGACATAGTTCGAGCATAACAAAAAACTTCTTCCAATTGTTCATCTATCTCTTACGAACCTCTCTCTCACTTGTGGCAATTTATTCTTTAGCTAATTTGATTGTTTGAAGTTACAGATTAGCAATGAAGGCAAAATGAGGCTGATTTTAAAACACATGTGAATAAAGTATTTCATTTTTGATAGGCAGATATGATGACACCGTTTTAAATGATTTCAATAAAGTATTTAGTAACAAAAGGCAAGCTTCAAGATTGTCAAAGTTATTGTTATTTGTCGCTTTAAGTGCGTGTTATTTACTTATAACAAATGAACTAATAGTGGCGGAAAATTTTTTAGATGATCACGTCATCGATCATAAGACGATTGTGCGTAAATTGTTGGATGAACCTGAACACATGATATATGCAATATATGATGCCCAATTTTAAGATGATTATGATTAATTAAGCTAATAAAATATTTTTTTTTTAGTTTGATTTAATTTACAATTATTAGTTTTAGAATGTTTAATGAGGCTTCTAGGTGGCTAAGGGTTGGGTTGGAGAAGTGAAAATGTAAGTTGAGAAATTTCCTCTGCGTGTCCCGTGAGGCCAAATTAGCAGCACATCATCATTAAGCTCACGGGAAAATGAAGAAAAAATATGTTTTAGGGGTGCATTACAGCTCTAGGGAGCGTAGACGTAGCACAAAGCCTTATCTAGAAAGAATTTGGAAGAATATGGAAGATTCTCTGGGAGTGTTGTGGTGCTGGGAAGATGAGCGTCACGACGCTAGGTTAAGTTAGTGATTTCTAAATAATAAAATAACTACAACCGCAAAATTTTATTTTCACCTACCTAGCCAAGAAGAGAGGAGGATAAGGGGAAGAGAAGAGAGACAAGAGAAAGAAAGAGAGATTTTGGTGGCCAAAGCTCAAGCTTTGTTAGTCAAACCATTTAGGGAAATTGTAAAAGCACAAGTTAGATTTTTGAATCCGTGTCTCTGATTTCAATTTTCATTGTTTTATAAAAAAATTATGGATTAAAATGTATTTTTATTTATTTTCATGAAGTATTAACCGTTTAACCGGCAATTTCTGGACCGCCGCTTTTTTCCTGCGGCTATATTTAACATAACATCCGGTTAGACCGCCGATAAAAACTGGCAGTCACACCGCCGGTTAAACCGTCGTTAATACCGGCGGCTGGAGAACCGCTGGTCCAGACCGCCGGTAATTGATGAATTTCCTGTAGTGGAACATTTTAACTATAAGAAATCAAACTTTTATTTATTGATTTTTTGGTACAAAATTTTGAGTATATGATCTCATTGTGATTTTTCAGAAAAACATAATAATTTTATAAACATCTTAAAATGTTCATGTGAATATTCCTTTCAAGTTGGGAATTGATCAGATAAAATTTAGTGGCTATTATGTTTTACAAGTAACGTGGTTTTTATTTACAAGTTATACTAGCATTGCATTGAAAATTATAGTTCAGTTAATATTGCAATTATATGTATATTGCTCATAACATGACATTAGAGATATTCTTATGTGTAAAAAAGTGAAATCTCAGATATACGACGAAGGTTTTATATATATATATGATGGCTACAGCGTGCGTATGAGGGTTACAGGATAAAAGCCAACTACAACATAACTAGGAGAAGGATAGTGCAAGTTTGTTGCAATGCAAATATGGGAGAGGCTACAGCGTGCGTATGAGGGTTACAGGATAAGGGTCATCTGGAGAAGTTGATATGCTTATTTGAAGATGGAAGAGGCTACAGTATGCACGCGAGGAATGGATGAAGGGCCGCTGGGAGAAGTTGATGCACTCAATTACAGACCAGTAAAAGTCGCCGGCAAAGATTGAGGAAGAGGGTTGCTAGGAGATGCTGTCGTGCTCCATTGCATGGAGGTTTCAGTGAAGATTGGTTGAAATTATTCCGTAGTCGAATCAGGATGCGTCACGTCACTTTTTTGTTGTGTATATCGGTGCTATGTATGTACCGTTGTGTATCATGTGATGTGGTGTATCCTGATTCGCCTCTATACAATCCGGTGATCGGGCAGAATAATTTCTGGAAGATTGGAGAGGAGGAAAAGGTAGGTTGAAACCACTGTATAGTTGAAAAAATAAAAGGGGAGTTGGTAGGGCCGGGTCGGGTGTCAATTCGGGTCGACGGGTCGGGTTCGAGTTGAACCCGGGGTTGACCCGGCTCTAAACGGGTCAACCCGAACCCGACCCGTTTTTGCAAACGGGTCGGCTATCTCAACCCGGACCCGACCCGCGCGGGTTGCCGGGTTGACACGACCTGACCCGTCGACCCGAGGCAGAGGCAGTAGCGGTGCAACGACGACGGCAGCGGGCTCGTGTTGGTTGTTGTGAATGCTGAATCGGCAATTGGCAAAGCTTGAAGCAACGCACTGTGCCAGGCTGAGCGACGGACCGCGGGACCAGGCAGTGGGCACGCCACACGCATCGTGACCCTCGAATGCTGAAGAGGAGAAGCCCGAAATCCGAAGCGAACTGCAGGCTGTAGCGACAGCGAGCTGTGAGCACGCGTGGTGACTCGCGATTGCCGAAGCAACGGGCAACGCGGTCAGCCGGTCATTCGACTCGGGCAGGGGCTTGTTTCTGGGTCATTTTTTGGGGTTATTTTCGGGTTCCCGTGTCAACCCGAACCTGACTCGATTTATGGAACGGATCGGTTTATTGAACCCGAACCTGACCCATTTCATAAACGGGTCAACCCGAACCCGAATTTTTCGGGTCGGTTTCAGGTCGGGTTTCGGGTCGTGTCAAAAATTGACACCCCTAGCCTAGGAGTTGGAATGATATTTTGATCACATCAGAAAATTTTAGGTTTTAAGTAAATAGAAGGTTTCAAAGCGATAGATATATAAATGTTTATATATGGAGTGGTAAGCATGTAAATTCCCTCCCAAAAAATAATATTAATATTCATGCAAATAAATATTTGATGATGATGATGATGATTTATAAAAATCTTTTTTTAATAGGATATTTTAATCAAAATTTTGATCAAAATGATTTCTAAATTATTCAAATTTATTTCTAGATTAATTTAAAATAGTATTTCTTTAATCTTATAATATATCCGAAAACTTTGACATCAATTCTAATTATTTTTTTTAGTCGTAATATCCTTTTTTTTTCAAAATAAAAGTGTGATACTCTCTTAAATTTAAATTTCTTTAGGGAATCTAGCATTCCACCATATGATTTTAGGAGTTAAGCTCTACGTTCATTTTAGAAATATGCTACAATTAACCAACTCCTAATTCAAGATAGATGAAAAACATTTGTGTAATTATATATTACAAATTTTCAAATAAATATATTAACCTAATAAGATTTTTTTAAGCTGTAGTTTTAATAGAGTAGGTTTATCATTCTTTTATGGAGAGGTGCAATTCATTTTTTTCAATCAAGTGTTCTTTTTTGTGCATAACTATAGATCTATTATTTATGAATGAGAATCATCATTAGTACATCGAGAGGTGCATTAGTACATCATTAGTACAACGAGAATCATTATATTTTTCCAATCAAGTGTTCGTTTTATAATTTTAAGTCAATTGGTACTTATGAGTCTTAGAATATTGAATGGGGTATAAAATATCAAAGTTTGGGTTGAAAATTTGAAAAATTTAAGTTTTGATTTTGTTATGTGGGTCTCGCAACGCCAGGGATACAACGCCTTGGTGCTCCCTTGTCGCCGAGCTCTCTACTTTTAGGCAAAATAAATAGGTTTAGGTGAACATCGCCGCGTTGGGCCTTAGGCTAGTATATTTTGGAAACATCTAGAAGATTCTTTGGAGCGCTACAGTGTTGGGGAAGCTTGGTGCCGCGACGCTAATTCAAAATAGTAGAAAATTCAATATTAAAATATCTCAATTTACTTACTAATCGACCCACCACCCCAAGCTTGTAGAAGAAGGGAGGAGGAGGAAGGGAAAAAAGAAAGAGGAAGAGAGGCAAGGGATTTGGAGGTCAAGGTTTGAGATTCGTTTGATGGGTTAGTTTAGGAAATTATAGAGCTCCAAGTAGACTCCTAAACCTTTGTCTTTAATTTCTATTCTAGTAAATTTTTTTAAAATTATGGATAAAATATATTTTTCTCAAATTTTACGAAATTTTCACCGTGTGATTTTTTGTATGATAGTGTGCCATTTATTATGGACATTTTGGCTATATGCAATCATGTTTTTAAAAAATTGTTTTTCTCATATAAATTTCTGAGCATATTGTTGAATAAAAGTATTTATGACAATTTCAATAGTTATGTAAACGTCTTGAAATGTTCTTATGAAGGTTCCTCTTGAATAAGAATTTGAATAGTGAAAGTTCAATAAGCATTCTATATTACATAAAAGGTGGCTTTTACTCGTAGTTTATATATTTTCTATATATCGCATTGAACATTTAATTTTAGTATCATTATATTGCATTCACATTTTAATTCATGGCATTGGATGAGTTCTATTATGATGTATGGGAAAGTGCATTCTCTGTTATGTTACAAAGGGCCAAATATGTACTCTTTGACCCCTTTTTCCTAATACAGATGTGAGATAATTTTGACCCCACTTGCTAAAAGTAAATATGGGAGATTAAGTAATATTGTAAGCACTCTTCTTACCCCATTTGCCTAATGCAGAAGCGGGAGAGACTCTAGCCCCACCTATGGGCAGGTGTGCAAGGTAAAGGGAGATATAAGGAGAAGTTGAGATATAAGCAGACATCATGATATGTACATTCTAGTCATATCATTTTATATGTTAAAATTTTTTCGATAAGGGTAAGAAATGTTTTTTGTAATGTTTTAGTGAACTATGAACTTATATATGAATTCTGATGAAGAGTGCAAGTGAATTTCCGAAAAATGAGTATTTTGTGTGCATATTAGAACTTCTATAAAAGTGATTATGTAGTTATAAATATGTAAGTATTGACCTCGAAATCAAGCATATATGTTAGAATCTAGTAAATCCCTATTTGACTTATGCTTTATGTATTTTGAAAGTCTTTATAATTTTCTTTGATTATTTATTTCTAAATTAATTAATTTTCTTTGTATATATATATACATATAATGCTTTATTTATTTTTTAATATTTTAGGAAAAGATAAAAATATTGAATGGGGTATTATTTATGAATGAGAATCATCATTAGTACATCGAGAGGTGCATAACTATAGATCTATTATTTATGAAAGAGAATCATCATTAGCACATCGAGAGGTGCATTAGTACATCATTAGTACAACGGGAATCATCATTTTTTTTTTCAATCAAGTGTTCGTTTTATAATTTTATGTCAATTGGTACTTATGAGTCTTAGAATATTGAATGGGGTATAAAATATCAAAGTTTGGGTCGAAAATTTGAAAAAATTAAGTTTTGATTTTGTTATGTGGGTCTCGCAACGCCAGGGATACAACGCCCTGGTGCTCCCTTGTCGTCAAGCTCTCTACTTTTAGGCAAAATAAATAGGTTTAGGTGAACATCGCTACGTTGGGCCTTAGGCTAGTATATTTTGGAAGCATCTAGAAGATTCTCTGGAGTGCTGCAGTGTTGGGGAAGCTTGGTGCCGCGACGCTAATTCAAAATAGTAGAAAATTTAATATTAAAATATCTCAATTTACTTACTAATCGACCCACACCCCAAGCTTGTAGAAGAAGGGAGGAGGAGGAAGGGAAAAAAGAAAGAGGAAGAGAGGCAAGGGATTTGGAGGTCAAGGTTTGAGATTCGTTTGATGGGTTAGTTTAGGAAATTATAGAGCTCCAAGTAGACTCCTAAACCTTTGTCTTTAATTTCAATTCTAGTAAATTTTTTTAAAGTTATGGATAAAATATATTTTTCTCAAATTTTACGAAATTTTCACCGTGTGATTATAGAGTTATAATCAGGCAACAACAATTCAGAGCATTGTGGAGGCTATGACTTTTAATTCAATGGTATAGTTCATTAAGTTGGTGGCCCAACTGATGCTTGAGGCTCAGGTTAGGATGGTTAGAGTAAAGGAGGATGAGATTCATAGGCATATGCAATTATTTCTAAGATTGAAGCCACCTCATTTTCAGTGTGTTGTTGAGCCTCGAGCATATGAGAACTAGTTAATGAGGGTAGAAAAGTCATTTGATAGCTTGCAGTGTCCAAAGGGCAAGAAGATTCGATTAATGGCGTTTCTTTTAGATGGAGAGGTAGAGCATTGGTGGATAGGATAGCAGAGAGAGGTTTTAGGAGAGGTCAAATGCAAAAATCAATTGGGAGGAATTTACTAAGATTTTTAGGACCTGGTTTGTTCATCCGTTTTCCATAAACCAGATGTAGGAGACCTTTTATGAGGTTGGTGCAAGGGAGCTAGATGATGATGTAGTATGAGGCGGACACTACAAGAAAATTATATTTTTGGGCGAAAAAATCTGCCACAAAATAAGTCAAATATGTCACAAAATTTATATTGACAAGTTGGCTCAGCTTTATGCAAAAAAGGTATCAAACTGCATGAAATTCCAATGATTATTATTTCTAACTGTAACATCAAGTTTACCTTGAAGTCGTGGAGGGGTGTTCAGGAAGGTCTGAGACAAAGCTGAATTTCAATATAGCCTTTCACCCTAGAAGAATGGATAAATTGAAAGGGTTATTGAGGTTCTGGAAGATATGTTGTGAAATTGTGTTTTGGATTTTGGCGAAAGCTAAAAGAATCATATACATCTGAATGAGTTTGTTTATAATACAACATCCAACTCATCAAAGATTGGGTCAATGGCAAGTAGCTTTTCACTTTCTCCCTCAACCTCCTCCTTCCTCTCATGGATGTTATATGTAAAAACTATATTCAAGATTTATTAGAGTATCCAACTTCTATTCTAATCTTATTTGGTTATTCTTTGGACTTACATGGCTTGCTCTTAGCTGTAGAATGATATTAAAAAGCTGATTTATACTCTCTTATCAAGATGGAATTAATTGACTTGCAACTATATGTACTTTCGATGTCTCCTCCGCTTTATAAATAAAATCAGATATGCTTGATTTCTTCATTCTGTTATTAGTTGTGCTCAACTGAGCGAGATAGTATTTATAATAGACTTATAGAACATTTCCTCATCAGCTATATAAAATAACTTAGAATTGGCAACTCACATAATAACATAAGAAAGATAAACATATTATACACATTGTCATCGACTCTTTATATTCATGCTAAAAAAATAACACTTATATCTTCATTCATGTGCCATGACAAAAAAAATATTTGTTTGTGAGCACCTTTTAGCTCTTCCAGTCTAGCATCCTCAATGCACTATTCTTAAGGAACTCAACACGTCTCTGTATAAGAACACCAAGGATTATAACAATTGATGAATGAAAGCATCATAGAATTATATCTTAGAAGTTCTAAAAGAGTTTCCAAAGGGAGATCATTCAACGTGGGCATTAGGGTAATTATACTTAAAATTTGTAAGAATTTTCTCTATAACCCCCACTCCATGCCCTAATCGACATGTGACCTGAGCCTGATAATACAAAGCTTGGGCATATGTATATATAGTAGAATAATTTAAATGAGTAAATCCTAAAATCTTATTCAATTCACTAACAATAATTATTAAACAATTTAGGACAATCATCGAAGAGATCATGATTGAGCAAAATAATCAACATATTCAATGAGTCTTTTTAACATATTTATTCCACAGTTTAGCCATATTTCAACCAACTTCGACATACTTTAACCTTATTCAAACTACCTTCAATCTTATTTATATTCTTGATCAAACATTCTTCAACCTTTCTTCAATGATAAATTAACTTAATTGATAAAAATGTCAAATTATGGCCGATTAACAGTTTGAATGAGTTTCAAAAAAATCTGAATAAGGTTATAATGTACTGAAGCTATTCACATATAGTTGAATCGTGTAATGAATATATTATAAAAACTCATTGAATAGATCAATCATTTTTTTAAAATGATCAAATAAAATTCAATTATATTTTGTGGATTATTGAGATTATTCAATGATGATTTAATTATCGTTCTAACTATAAAATATAGTTGAAATATGGCAATAACATGACAACTAACTAACAAAAAAAAAAATTTTTGGGGGGCTGCTAAAAATATGTAAAAGCGGGTTTCTAAGCCATGGCGCAAAGTTTCATCCGCGTCGCCACTCGGAAGGTGGATATCAGAGGCAAATAGGGAGAGAAATATCCTTCTCAGATGGCGGCAATCTTGCTATCTGTTTCTTGTTCGCACACCTCCAAGCCCAGCCGTTCTTCTTCGCCGCTCGTGCTGATCTCCAGCTTGAAGCCCGCCTCCAAACCGTCATCTATTTCGTGGGCTTCTTCTATTTCCGACATTTCGATCAGCGTAAACAGTCTCGCTGGAATTTCATTTCCTCATACTGACAACCGTCAGGTTTGCTCATCTTCTTTATTCTCCACTCGAACTCCGTTGATTGCTTCCTTATATTTGATATTTGCTGTCTCGATGTTATCTGCGGTTTCAAAGGGCTAATTAGGACCAGGGAATTGAAGGATTGCAGATGAGCGAAGGGCCTCGAAGAAGCGAGTTTGAGGATTGAATTTTATATATCTATTTGTCGTTCTTGTCTGTCTTTAGTAATCGTTTGGCAGTAACGATGACATTCATGTGGTCTCTATTGTATTGGTTTCAGGTATTTTGAATTAGAAATAAACGTGTATTTAAAAGACCTAGAACGAACTTTTTATTGTGGTAAATCTGGTTTAGTGGGATTTTGTCGCTTGTTCTTCCCAAATCTTTTATAGGTGGCTATATAGATGAAAGTTAAGAAATGAAATGAAATTTGGAATTTCATGCATTGCCATGAATTTATAGACGTTTAATGCTCGAAGTGGTGTTGATAGAGATAAAATTTAATTTCCTTATTCTCAAATGACCGCCCATGCTAGGGAAGGTATTAGGATTTCAAGTGAATGGGAGGGAAATGTCTTACCCGAAATGTAGGGCTAAATTTTTATAATATATATAGTTGCAAGAGAATTTAAATATTGTGCATAAATAGATAAGGCTTTTCTCAAATCTAGAATGGGCAACAGACACATCCAGCCTCTTCCTAATTCCACTATTGGTCTATGCTTACAATTAGTGAGTAAATAAAGTGGGTTGGAGGGTTATTATTTTTTACATGAAAAACTTGAAAAGGAAAAAATTAACTTGCCTAGTTTAGGTGAAACAACTTGCACTAGTATTAGATATAAATTATGAAGGGCTTCCTTTATTGAACTTGGAGAAGGTGTCAATATAGATCAGGGGATAGCAAGCCATTTCAAGTATCCCCAATGAAGAAGAGGTAAGAAAATCAACAAGATAGATGGATGTAATCAAGTTTGTTTTATTCTCAGAGGTGAAGATCAATTGACATTAGGGTGATTTACGAGGTGATGCTAAAAGGTCAGAGTAATCAATGAGTATGGTTGAGACAATTTTCTAATAGAAGGGAAGTTATCGATTAAAGTGGCCCAAGAAGTTTTTGTAGACCATTGAAGATAGTTGTATCAATCCTACCTTGGAGGTGGAGATGATAGGACTTGAAGGTGATGCGGGAGGGTCATGGACATGATTTTGGGATGGAGAGTTATTAATTTTACCTAGTAAACCTAAAAAGGGAAAAATCATTGTGCGTAGTCCAAATGAAACAACTTGCTCTAGTAGTAGATATAAATTATAAATGGGTTACTTCACTAAATTTGGAGAAGGTATCAATATATAGTAGCTGAAAGAAATCCAGGGCAAATCTACCCGATGATAAAAATGTAAGAAATTAACAAAATAGATGGAGGTAACCACGTTAGCCATCTTCTTAGAGGTGAGGATGACTTTATATTGGGGTGACATACGAGATGATGCAGAAAGATCGGGGTGATCACTGAGTATGGCTAAGATAAATTTGTACTAGAGGGGAAGACAATACTTAAAGTGGCACAAGAAGGTCATAGAGGCCATTGAGGATGGTTGGATCAATCCTCCCTTGGAGTTGGAATTGACAAGACTTGAAGGAGGCAGGTGAGGTTATGTAGGAGGATTGTAGATGTGATTGTGGGTTGGAGAGTTATTATTTTTTACATGAAAAATCTAAAAAGGGAAAAATTACCATGCCTAGTTTAGGTGAAACAACTTACACTAGAGTATATATAAATTACAAAGGGTTTCTTTCACTGAACTTGGAGAAGGTGTCAATTTAGAGTAGGTGAAAGTAAGCTATTGCAAGTATCCCTGGTGGTGATGAGGGAAGAAAATCGACAAGATAGATGGGAGTTAATCACGTTAGTATCTTCTCAAAGTTGAAGATAACTTGAAATTGGGTTGACATAGATATGATACTAAAAGTTCATGATGATCACTGAGTATGGTTGGAGCAATTTTCTACTGGAGGGGAAGGCATCGATAAAATGGTGTGAGAAGATTGTGGAAGCTATTGAAGATAAGTGGATCAACCCTCACTTGGAGTGTAGATGGAAAGACTTGAAGGCAATGGGTGAGGCAATGCAGGATGTGATTGTGGGTAATCAGAATGGTTGTCCATATTAGAGATGTTGATGACATAACATAAAGCTTGTGACGAGGCGACACAATATGGCCTTGGAGTTGGCTATTGATAGTCATGATAGCTATTGTTCTTGAGATAAAGATGACATTGTTTGAAGGTTGCAATATGGCAATACAAAAAAATATTTTTGAGTTGTATGTTGAAAGTCAGGATAATCCTCTTTCTAGAGATGAAGATGATGCGACCTTGAGGCTATAGGCAAGATTGAAAGAGTGAAAGATAGGGGCAACTACTGAGGATTGTTTAGATGATCCTCGCCTTCGAGGTGATAGCGACGCAACATGAAAGTTAAGATTGATTGAAAATTGCAATGCTGAAAGGTTGGGGGGGGGACTTATAACATATATAATTGTAGGAGAATTTTAATATTATACATAACTACACATGATTTTTCTCAATTCTAAAGGGGGCAAGAGATACCCCTAGCCCATCTTTGGGTTTCACTATTTGGTCCTCACATAAAATTAGAAAGTAAACAAAGTGGATTGGGGACAAATTACTTTTTGTATGGAAAACCTAGAAATTGAAAATTCACATTGCCTAATCTAGGCGAAATAGCTTCCATGGGTAGTAGATATAAATTATAAAATGTGTTCTTTATTGAACTTAGAGAAGGCACCATTCATTGAACTTGGAGAATATGTCAATATAGACTAGGTGAAAATAAGGTAGTGTAAGTATCCCTAGTGCCGACGAGGTAAGAAAATTGGTCATGTAGATGGAGGTAATCACATTAGTCATCTTCTCAGAGATGAAGAGGACTTGACATTACGGCGATGTATGAGATGATGTTGAAATGTCGGGGTGACCACTAAGGTTGGTCAAGGTAGTTTTCTCTTGAAGGGTAAGGCTGCGATCAAAATGGCACAAGAAGGTTGTGGATGCCATTGATGATGCTCAAATTAGGCCTCCCTTACAGCTAGAGAAGCACAACTTGAAAGTGTTGGGCGAGGTGATGTAGGAGAGCTGTGGATGTGATTGCGGGTGGTCAAGATGGTTCTCCATTTAGAGATGTTGATGACATAACCTAAAGCTTGTGACATGGTGACTTAAGATGTTCATGGAGGTATTAACAATCAAGATGATTACTCTTCTTGAGGTACAATTGACTTCATTTGAAGGCTCTAATGAGGCAACACAAAAAAAGTCATAGATGTGATTGTTGAAAGTTAGGATGGTCTTCTTTCTAGAGTTGAAGATGACACAACCTTAAGGCTACAGGTGAGGCGACACAACAACACTGAAAGGTAGGGGTAACACTGAGGATATTGGAGATGGTCCTCCACTTGGAGATGTAGCGACACAACATGAAGGCGAAGGTCGATTTTGAAAGTCATGGTGGCTATTGAGAATGTTTGGAATGATCTTCCTCTAGGAGGCAAGGGCAACATGAACTTGTGGTAGTGATCAAGGTAGTGCATGGTGGTCTTGGAGGCTCCTGAAGTTGGTTGAATTGTATCTCCCCCTGAGATAGAGTTAGCATGACTTAAAAGGAGGCTGGCATGGTGACACAAGAAGGCTATGAAGGTGATTGTGGATAGATAGGATAACCATCCTTCTGGAATAGGGATGCCATGATTTAGAAGCGATGATGAGTTTGTGCAAGACTGTTGTGGTGCTTGCTGTTATGGCGAGCACTGAGGATGATTGAGATGGCATTCCTTTGCAGGGGTGAAGGTGACTAGTAAAGTTGCTCAAGCAAAGTTATGGATGTGTTAGAATGATATTTCTAGAAGTAGAGATGACAACCTAAAGTTAGTGGGTGAGTCGGTGTAAGAAGGCTTTCGGGGTGACTATAGGCAGCTAGGGTGATTCTTCTCCTTCTTGAAAACCACAAGTAGTTGACGTAGCATGGTTGTGGCGGTAACTTTTGGCAATTAGGATGGTCTCCTCCTTTTGGAGGTGAAGGCGACACACTTAAGTAGGCATGCAAGGCAATACTGAAAGGTTGGAGTTACTACTAAGGATGGTCTCTTCCTTGAGGCGAATGTGGAACAACCTTGAGATGGTGGATGAGGCAACTTAGGAAAGTCATGGAGGCTATAACTGATTGTCAAATTGATCATCCCTATGAGGTAGAGAAGATGATTTGAAGTCGATAGTCAAGGCGACGCAAGAAGTTTGTGAAGGTGACTGTGGGTAATCAGGATGGTCTTCTGTATGTGCCCTCCTTGTATCAGGCATGTTAGACCGTGATTTTGATGTAAAATGCCTACAACACAATTTTGAGTGCTTTAGATGTGGGTCGGGATATGTCAGAGACGTATATGTGTTTGACATGAACATGCAAAACATTTTGAAATGTTTTGCTTCATAAAGTGTGATTAGTCGATTGAGTCAAAAGTACACATCTTTGTGATAGAAAAATGACCATTTTATGTACCCATGTTATTTATATGTCTGTGGATGTGATTTAGACTTCAAATTCATATAGTCTAGAGAAGACTTATATGCAACATTAATACAACTCTCATTATCAATTATAAGATTATAGAACTTTTTCTTGTGTTTAAAATAGGTTTAAAACATTATATTTTTCTTCCAATCAACTTCAACTTTAGAAGTTGCTAGATGCATTGCATGATTTTGTAAGAATTATAAGTTGAGGCGTTCTTATAATCACTATTTATTAAACTCATGAACATCACCAGAATCATTAATCATATTAACTTCCTCCACTTTCATATGCAAGCTCCTACATGGACATTTTATAACATAATTATTAGTTTATGATACTTATAACATGCCTCAGTATAGTTCTTAAACTCAAATGTGGATGCACTTGATTTCTCCTTAATATCTTTGTTAATTGTCATATTATTAGCCT